GTGTGCTGTTCTTCTTCCCCTTCTTTGCCACAATATGTGCAGTCATTCTTGAGTGTTGTTCAAGTTGTAATTTCTTTTCACATTTCACTTCCTTTGCGCACACTTGACAGTACACGACGACACTGTCTGTTGAATAGTCGCTATTATCCGACACCCACCGAATTTTTAAATATCTACTGCTGCACTTTCTTTAGGCATTTTCAGTATACGAACACTTCTTTGATGCAGACTATTAAAGTAAAGAGTAACACATTAACTGAAGAGACTTCTCTCGAGACCAACCCTCTGATGCTACTGTCTGCTGTGGTGGTCAAAGAAATGCAGGAAAATCCGATCCCCTCCCTTTCGAAATAGCCAAGCTACCTGCTTGTGTTGTAAGTGGTAAACGTGCCGTTACTCAGAGAGTTGAGAATAGCAACTGGCAAGGGATGTCCAAAACACAGGCAAACCCAATTTTGCTAGAGAACATTGAAATTATCCTTAATTCCAAACATATATGCAGAAACATGCTCTTACATTTAGCATATGCAATAATGACCAAAATTCCTCAAAATATGCATTTGCATATGCGCATATGCATTCTCAAAGAATCCAGGCCCTACTTATCATACACGTATAATACTGTGGCATTAAGACTAGTTACTAGACAACGAACGCGAAACAAACAACTAGTCAACGGCCGTTATTAGGCAATGGTCCATAACAGCAATAGATGAACGGTGTTTTCTGTGCGTTTCGTGCCGAGATTTTACAAGCAGGACAGTTAGTTGGTGAGTGAACAGAGTGAGTCAGTTCAGTTCATGAATGACTGAGTTAGTCAGATGATTGCTGAGGTTCCGTTGTTATGAGCTGCTGTTGTTAGCAGCCGTGGATAGTTCGGGAAACCAGAGGAAGAGGAACGTCTGCCGTTGGAAGTAGGTACCGAGCAACGGCTAGTGAAGACGTGGCTGTGGAAAACACTGTGTGTGTGTGTGTGTGTAATAGTGAATTGTAAAGTGTAGTCATGCGCTGTATCAAAGAGTCCAATAAATTCGATCATCAATCCAAAACCGTCACAGTCACACACATACACGTGACAATATGTACATGAGTGTAAAATTAACCCACATGAAGTACATCTAAATAATATTTAAAAATTAAATTCTTCCCACATACAAAACACATTGCATCATTCATCACAAAAGCAAACCGGTCAATACTGTTTAGAGAAAAAATCCCTATTTGTTCTTAGAACCACGGTTCAGTTAGAATGGAAATATTGTATAATATTCTCATTATGTTTGGGATGGTCATGAAATCAGACTTACTGAAATGTGTTTAAATGAAAACTATATTAAAGCCGGTATATGTAGACACTTGTCTAATACATTCACTATTAAAATTGTCTAAAATAAGAAAACACTTGCTTTTAAATGTTACTTTAAAATATGCCATTAGGAAGGTCCAAGAAAACCAGGTAGGACTAAAACTGAATGGGATACATAAGCTGTTGGTCTATGCTGATGATGTGAATCTATCAGATGATAACATAAATCCCATAACGAGAAACACAGAACCTCTAAGAGGTCAAGCTGGCGAAGGCTAGCAGCAAGATAATGTTCTGCTTAGAAACTCAAATTCACGTTGGCAAGAAAGCTGGTCTAGAAGCAAACAAAGAGAAAACTAAGCATATATTGTTGATGTCTCATCACCAGAATGCAGGGAAAAATCATAACAAAAAGATGGCTACTCGTAATAAATCCTTTGAAAAAGTGGAAGATATTGCGAACTATTTACCAAATCATAGTATCATTCATGAGGAAATTATGAGCAGATTAAATTCTGGCAATGCTTGCTGCTAATCAGTTCAGAGCCTGCTGCCTAAAAACGTAAAAATTAAAATACACAAAACTATAATTTTGCCTGTAGTTTTGGATGGGTGTAAAATTTTGTCTCTGACGTTAAGGGAAAAACATGGATAGGGTGCTCAGGAGAATATTTAGACCGAAGAAGGATGAAATAATATAAGGCTTGAGGAAATTGCATAATGAGAAGTTTCATAACTTATATTCGTCGCCAAGTACAATTAGAATGATGAAGACCAGTAGGATGAGATGGGCAGGGCATGCAGCGTACATAGAAGAGAATAGGAATGCATGAAGGGTTTTATTGGGAAAGCCAGAAGGAAGAGACCACAAGGAAAACTTACACGTAGGCAGGATGATAATATTAAAAAGGATCTTGGTTAAACAGGAGGGTGTGATATGGAGTGGGTTGATCTGGTTCAGGATAGGAACCATTGGAGGGCTCTTGTGAACACGGCAATGAACTTTCAAGTTTCATAAAATGTTGGGAAATTCTTGAGCAGCTGAGTGACTAGCGGCTCATCATGAAGGACTCGGCTCCATGGAGTTTCTCTGTTACCATATAGAACACATGAATATACCGTGTGGGCAATGAGCAGAGGTTTTAAATGTTAAAACAGGTGATATGCCCGCGTATAGTGACCACTGTTTTAAAGGGTTAAATGCCAGGAATGAACGACAATCAGAGAGGACTCGGTAACAGCAGCAGTCACTTCACAGATCCCCACCCCTGAAAGAAGAAGATAACGCCTTACAACTGTTACACAAGTTTCCTGCTCGCCGTCAAACTTGTGATGCTGGACTATGTACAAGAGGCTCTGTCATCACAAGCCGTCCCTGTGAAACCATATGACTATGATCTAAACAAACCGCCATCCTGACAGTTCCAGCTGTATAAAACAATATCATATGCTATCCGATACTGCTGAAACATTTCACGTGATTTTCCTCAACGAATTCTGTGATGCTGTTTCCTTCCACGCCCTTTCCATCTCACCACATCAGTCATTTTCCATCTCATGGCACATAATAAGTTGAAAAATAGAAATCGAATAAATTAATAAAGAAACACCTTGCCAGTCATTGAATTTTCCGTGTTACGTGCCCGCCAATTTCAAGAGCAGGCAACAGCGCGGCGAATCCAACAATTAGTGACTGACTTGTAACAGGAAACATATCAGTTGCTTTATGCAGTCCCTTACTATGAGGGAAGGACTGTTTGAAAACAAAGCTCTGAAACTCATCTTAGAAGACCGAGAAGGAGGTGCAAAGATAATATAAGAATACAGATCATCACATGTAATATATAGTATGAAAACTAAATTTCTGGTTGCTATACAGCGTCAGCAGTTGATTCAATCATGTAAAATACAGAATAAACAAAAGAAATGTGAGTCCAAAAGTTTCTGACGATGGTGTAAAGCAGGCATGTCAAACTCAGCTTATACAGAGGGCAACCTCAGCCCTATAAATAATAGTCCAGGGCCGCACTTCAAAATAACAATATACATTAGATTCTGATAAAAGGAAATTTAATTCTATTTAATTATATTTATTATTTAGGAATAATTTCAATATAAGTACCTAAAGTGGAACACATATTTTGCACACAAATCGAACATGTAATTTTACCTTCTATTTCACAACAGAAATAAGTGATTTCCCATTTTTCTTGAAAAAACACGGTGCTCACTTTCAATAGTTCTTTTTTTTGCTACTTCAATTTTTTGAAAGCAACATTGCCCTTTAAAAGTTACTGCACATATACAAGAAAACTCGTAGTTGATAATTTAATGTTTAATTATAACCTTTATACGTTCATCACAATGTAACGTCAGAACCTGTCGCTGTATGAAAATGAACTGAATGACAATGTACGAGAGACTACCGGACTAGTAGGAAGGTGTATCTTGTCTCAATGGTCATAAAAGTGAAAGTTTGCTAGCAGCCCATTAGACAATGGCTGGGGGTTGCAAGCTAGTTTTGAAGGTAGAAATCCCTTGCACTTGTCTGTCAGTTGCCACCCTCCTTGCTTTCTTACTACGCCTCCAAAAGGGATTCTTGGAAATACTTGGGGTGGTGAGGCTGTGCGGATTTTAGTGCATTAACCTTCTGAAATACAACAGTTTGTCCTTCACGAAATTTACAAACTGTTAGTTCGACAAACCCTTCTGCAATTCTCAGAATCACTTTTCCTGCAGCCTGCTACTTTATGTCTGCGTGAGAATTCTTGTCTTCTGGTCTGTTGGAAAACTGTCTTCCTGCAGCCTATTTCTACTAAAATTTTAATATTGATTTTAATATCAATTAGCTCTAAAAGTTGAGGGGCCGCATGTCTGACACGGCTGGTGTAAAGCAATGCTACCGAAAGATATTTTAGACACTGTACATCGCCTCAGATTTTTCAAGCTGCAATTTTTCGAGAATGGATCCTGATTCTTAGTGATTTATTCCGCTGGTCTTCTTAGCAGAGCAAGTGCCAATCTTGGGCCAAGATCCAGAGTAGGATCCCTTACTTTATCACGCAACTTGAAATAGGAAGCAGAGTTAGTTTCCGATATAGACTACAGTAGACCCTTGTTTTATGCCGGGATTAGGTTTTTGAAGACGCCGGCGTATATCCAATCGGCACAATTGAAAGATCAATTATATTGTCACGATGTCATGGAATCTTTATAAACGGAGTTTGGATTGGTAATTTGGTTTATTGAACTCTTACATGTTGTTAACTACAAGTAACTCTAGTGCTAACGCTAATTCACTGCAGTTCACTACAGCACGTACTGACTCTTCTCAGTCTGCTCTGTCTTCACCAGCCGTTTCCTGGTGACGAACCAGAACAATGTCCTCTGCTTCCGTGCTCACGTTCTTACTGTCTGATGACTGTGCCACAACTGACCAAACTCTACACTTGTCCTGCTTATAACATGGACGGCACAGAAAACACCGTTCCTCTGTTGTGGTTTGAGGGCCACTACCTAGCTACAGAAGCCATACAGTTGGCGCCTAGCAACAGATCGACATGCCACAATACTGTATTTCAATGGTATGCGTTCCAGGTATATAATAACTGAATTCTCTTTCACAAAATAATAACAAATATGTATATATTTCAAACATAAACATTATATGCATGGAAGTAAACCAAATATAGTCTGCAATAAAACATAAAACGTCATTGACGAGAGAAATTCCCTGGCTGTGGATCTTCAGGGATGCCTTGCTTTACGCCTCCTCTCCTGCAGTTCATGATAGTAAGTTTGCAGAACTGGACTGACTCTTCTTCCAACAGAACAGCTCCGTTCACAGCCAAGATCACTGTCACCTAACCACTGGAAGCACCTGTCAATCCCGGCGAGAATTTTCTCATGGGTTTCTACAGACCGAAAAACACAACAACAATTAGAGTCACTGCTCCATTTTTCCAACCACAGGACCACCTGAGCATCTAAGAGTTGTAGCAGTTTTCATTTTCTTTTTAATTTTATCGGCATTTTACATGGTTGTTGCTACAGTGGAGGAGACCATATTTAGATCCTTATAAAGAATAGGACGTGACTGCCCACATACAATTCTTGTAACAACTTCCATTTTTTCTTCTAATGCTATAGATTTGCGTGGTCTTCTAGGCATATTTTTACTGGCGGTTCCACTTCTACTCTTACGACGAGACATGGTTCCATTTTATTTTTGAGTATGAATTTGTAAAAATTAGCGTGACTGATAATTGTGGGACCTAGATTTGATGACTGAATTTACTGGACGTCTCTATTACAATTACAGTTCAATTTACATTACAGCTCACACACTGAATACCTTGATAACGAATCTCTCACTATTGGCTGAATCTGAAGAGCCTCTAGTCTCCCGAATTCTCCCTCTGGATGTCGGACTGAACTAACTTCATGCAAACAGAATACAGAACACCCAGTCGGACAGTTGATTTTCCTCTGTTATTCTCTGTTGCCACGAAACATATGATGATCTCCGGGCAACGCTTTGACTTATACAAGAGTATTTGTTGTCGCGGAAACATAATTCAGCTAGCCATTGTCTAGCAACAGACAGCTCTGCTATGCTTCTCTGCACACTTCCAGTGTTCAGACGTCATGTCATAATACGTGTATGTGCAAAGATAAAGCTCCACACATTCATAACCTTGACACTAGGTGGAAATGAGCTTCATACTATCATCATTTTATCCTCTAGGAAAGAATCCTAGGATAGGAGCCTGAGTCGTTTCAGAGCTGGTCTGGATATGAAGGAAAAGAGAAAAATCTGTAATCAGCGTTAAAAACTTTCTGCGTGACACAGCATTAGCAATGTTTGGAAGCACATATTTTAATCTCAGCTATTAACTAGCTCTCAACTACAGGTGGCATTATCATCCTTAAAAAGACAAAAAATTTCGAGCCCTTTTACACATGTGGTGTACACTGGAGAGTGCAGTTGAGAGTTCTGACTCTCCTTTTATTTTCATTTTAATCAGGAAAACGTCATTATTTGTTTGTCTCCGGATTTCCTTAATGCCAGCCTATCAATTACAGAGTTTTAAATAGTACCAAATACCAAGCAATATGCATGAAATAGGAAGGATACTAGAAAGTAATTTATTTGAAGATAAACTATTGTTTCAATATTCACTTTGGAGACAGAGGGGAAACCACAAAGCATCAACCTCTGTTCATACAAAATATAGGGTAATGTAGCAAATACAAAGTTCTCTCTCTCTCTCCTTCTGCAGACTCAGCAACAAACTGCATTTGCTTATTAGTTTAAGAAAACATTTAAATTCCTACCTCCATCAGGTTCTGGGTTGACTACAGATTATGAGACAGGAATGACAAACCAGTACATTACAGAATTTGGTATGAATAAAGGTCCGCTGCTATTTGTTGTTTCATCACATTAACATTAAAACCCTCTCCTGTGTAATATGACCACAATTAACATAATTACCTGGAAAGAAACTCAATTCTGAATTTCCATTGGGGAGCTGTCACACTCTGCTTCAGATCTCTCACATATTTCAGACTCTTCTGTCACTTTCCTAGGCTTCAGAGTGCTGCATACTGAGTATGAAACTTCATCCAAGGCACAGTGTGGCAATAAGGTCTAAAATAAAAAAAAATAGTAAGACAGGTAAAATGATGAAATGTGTTTAATAAGAAATGTTCTGCATTCCTAGTCCTGCCAGTTAGTTCTATGAATGTGTTCGAAAACATGCGACGACATGGGATTATGGAAGAGCCAGACAGCCCCTGGTCATCCCTCGACATTCTTGTCCAGAACTGGGTCCTCTGCTTGTGTGTGAACTACAGGAAACTGCCCTGTACTGATGACACTCTGGACATGCTGGCTGCAGTCAAATGGTTCTCCACTCTGGACTTGAAGAACAGTTATAGGCAGGTGGACCTGCATCCGGACAAGAAAAAGACTGCATTCTCAACAGATCAAGGGCTATGGCACTTCACAGTCATGACCTTTGGCCTCTGCAATGCTCCAGTGATGTTAGAGCAATAAATAGAGACCGTCTCAAGAGACCTTACTTATGAGTCATGTCTCACATACCTGGATGACGTGATTGTGATTATGGCCGCAAGTTCCAAAATGGTCTGCTCAATCTGTGGGAAGTGTGCAAAGGGTTCTCAGAAGCCCATTAATATATTTTGGGAACTTTTGGATTGCACCGCGCATATGACTAGGTCAGAAGAGCTGGAAGAGGTAGAGGAAGTTGCAGAACACAAAGCAACATTCTTGAATACACTGACAGGATTGGAATCAGCCAGAAAGTATGTACATCAATTTGATACCAAGAACAGTAAGTATATTATTTTACAAAGTGGATAATTTTCAGTCCAGTGTGACATACAAGTTTACAATACTTCAGTCTTTATTCACCTTACATGTTTCGATTCAAAAGAATCATGCTCAGAGGCGTACCACTACGATCAGGAAACACTGTCACATAAGATGTTCTAACAATATGCACTTAAGCTATGAATAATGCTCACTATATAAGTTTTTTTGTTATTATCACAGTTAGTTTTGATGTTTGCCTTAAGCATTCATGATGATGCTTCTTGAAGTGTCGATTTACATATGATGCTGTTTCTTTTAAGCGTATTTGCTGGGTATTCTGATTGGGATTTCCCTCTGCACGCGATATGATGTTCACTTTTCCATACAGTAGCTTCCCTATGTATTTAATATTGCATTAAAATTTCTTTTCTATGTAAAAAATTAGTTTTTATGTTAAAATATCGTGAGCCATAGAACATCTTGTGTGACAGTGTTTCCTGATCATAGTGATGCGCCTCTGAGGAAGATTCTTTTGAATCAAAACATGTAAGGCGAATAAAGACTGAAGTGTTGTAAACTTGTATGTCACACTAGACTGAAAATTATCCACTTTGTAATTAATAGTGTGACGGACCAGAATGAGACAAATCAAATTATATTATTTTAATGTGGAACAAAGGTGAAAATTAATTATACAGCCTGAGAGCTGAAGCAGAAGAGAAACAAAAGGCTAAATGCTGTGAGAGTGCCTTGAAATAGGCCATGACCACTTCCTTCCACATCCTTTTCATTCACAAGTTATAATCACCATCTCATCTTACCAATGTTATACATTATAAAAACGGCAGTTAATAAAGCACTGTAAAATAAACCAGGAACCATATTTTCATTTACATTTTTAATGTTTGAAAATGTATATTTTAAATGATTTTTCAAAGTTTAGGTATAAAGAAGACAACACTTTTCTTTATGTTGCACATTTCCTATTTCCCAATTTTACACTTTCCCTCATTTTGCATTTGATTCAGGCAGTCCCTTAAAAAGTGTAAAGCTGAGGTATACACTAGCAATGATAGGAGGGACATACACACAGCAAGGTGTCTCTTAACAAATATTAGGAGGGGGCATAAACACACAAACGCTAATAGCAGGCTGATCTCATAAGACACCTTTTGTTTTTTTCACAAGGAAAGTATGGGGGGCAGTCAAATGAAAACGGGTCAGAAGCCAAAACATATTAAAGAACATTTCTTACCTCAAAAGTAATCTCCAAAACTGTTAATACATTTATCCCACTGGGAGATAAGACGGTCAATCCCATCCTTGAAAAAGTTGTGGGCTGTCTACGGAACCACATCTTTACCCGGTCACACGTCTTGGTCCGATGCAAACCAATGTCCATGAATGTCTCTCTTCAGGTCTCCAAAAATGTGAAAATCACATGGGGAGAGATCTGGGCTATAGGGGGGATGTTGAAGCACTTCCCAACCAAATCTCTGTAGTGTATTCCTCACAGAGTTGGCAGTGTGGGGGCTCGAAATACGTGGTGCAATCCAAAAGTTCCCGAAATATATTAATAAAAACTATTACATCTTACCTAGATCTTATTCTGCACCATCACCTTCAAAGTAGTCCCCTTGGGAGCGCGTACACCGATCCCAGCATTTCTGCCACTTTTCAAATGCATCCTGGAAGTCTTTCTTGGTTAGGGTGTTTAGTACCATCTGCGTTTCTGCTTGAATTTCCTCAACTGTATCAAATCTTCGCCCCTTCAACTTGATTTTCATCTTGGGGAAGAGAAACAAGTCGCATGGAGCTAACTCTGGCGAGTACGGTGGGTGGGGAACAACTGCCATCTTGTTTTTAGCCAAAAATTCCTGCACAATGTACAAGTAAGCCGTATGCGGTCGTGCATTGTCATGGTGGAGTACCCAGTCGTTCGTGCACTACTTCTCTGGACGTTTTCTCCTCATGTTCTCCCTCAAACGCCTTAGAACACTGCAATAGAACTCTTTATTGACTGTCTGACCAGGAGGGACGAACTCCTTATGAACAATCCCGTCAATATAAAAAAAAACAGAACATGGACTTAATGTTGCTCTTGACTTGTCGAGCTTTTTTTGGCTGAGGTGAAGAAGGACTCTTCCATTGTGACGACTGCTGCTTTCTTTCAGGGTCGTAGCCATAAACCCAACTTTTGTCACCAGTGACAACTTTCGAAAGAAAGTTTGGATCCTCTTGAAGATGTTGCTGAAGTTCCTTGCAGACTTCCAAGCGATGATGCTTCTGTCCATTTTGCAGCAGTCATGGCACAAACTTCGCCACAATCCTCCTCATGTTCAGTTCCTCTGACAAAATTCGTTGACATGTACCATAACTTAGTCCCAAGGCATTACAGAGGTCGTGGATGGTCAGTCTACGATCTTGCAAAATCAGATCCCTAACTTTCGCGACATTTTCTGATGTTTTGCCCGTTGACGGCCATCCCGAACGATCGTCATCATCAGTCAATGTTCGGCCATTTTCAAAACGCTTATACCAGTTGTAAGTCTGTGTCTGGCCTAAACTGTTTTCACCAAAAGCTTGCTTCAACATTTGGTGTGTTTCTGCAGCAGTTTTCCCAAGTTTGAAACAAAACTTTATACAGACACGCTGCTCTCTCAGGTCAGCCATCGCAAAACAGCAAACTCACGGACACACAACAATGAAAATACATCCACCAACAATAAACCCAACCACTCAACTCGACGCCGCTTGCAACACTGATTCAAGAAGGATGTGTGAGGAGACATCTAGCGGTATTTCGATGTACTCATAACCATTTGCAGGCAAAATTCAAATTTCTGGAACTTTTGGATTTCCCCAAGTATCTTGAAGAAGGATATAAAGCAGTTTGATAGCATTCCAGGGCGTTTTGGCTTTATGGCACGTCTCAGTTTCTGCAAACTGTCTTCATAGTGCTGTGCACTGATTGTGGACCCATACTCGAGAAATTAAACAAGCAGAGGGCCCTTGCAGTAGAAGGAGAATGTCATCATCGCTTTATCGGAACTTATGTGTACGGCTTCGGATTTCTTCGATGGGGGAGAACTCCACTGTTGGCTCTGTCATTTGCTCTTGGATTCAAAATGGTGGCACCAAGTTTCGTCCCCAGTGGCAATACGGGAGAGAAAAGCATACCCTTCATCATGGTATCATTGCAAGTGACCCAGTGATGCAGCCATTCTCTGAGTCTTCTGTTTCTCCGTGAGCTGATGTGGAACCCACTGCGTGCAGATTTTGCAGTACAGCAGGTGTATTGTCACAATGGCGTATACGGAACCATAACTTGTTCCCATCAAAGACTAATTTCTTCCACAGTGATGTCGATTTGCCCAGATATGACCATCCAACACAGCAATAACATCAGGAGTGATGACACGATGAGCCTGTCCTGGGCAAGCATCATCTTGCAGTGACACACGTCCCTCTCGGAATCTCTTATGCCACGCCAGCACATGCGAACATGACATGCTGTGTTCGCCGTAAACAACAGACATGCAATGATGAATTTCTCGTCCTCCTACTCCTTCAGCAGTCAAAAAGCGCACTACACTTCGCTGTTCTTCTTTACCTGCCTCCATTACTGATGTTGGACAACCACACGTACTTCCAGCGCAATAAACAAACGACTAGTTTGCAAGGGCACATTGTCGCTGTGCTTTCTCAAGTCCCCACCAGATGTTGGTACCATAAGCATATTCCAGTGATACCAAATTACGTGCTATGCGACTTATGCGTGGTGACCCGTTTTCATTTGACTGCCCCTTATAGGTTAAAAATGATTAGTCTGAACAAATGTATAAATTCAGAACTGGGTTTTTGGACTTTTGTCCATCATCTGGTATGCTAAAAACTAGAAAATGCATGTTTAGGAAACAGGACCAGTGATCGGGGTGAGCTCTTTCTAAGGGACCCAAGAAAGTAGGTGTCTCCCGCCTTCACCTGAAGATGGAAACAGATCCTGTTTCTGAACATTGTGTTCTCTAGTTTTTACAATACCAGACAATGGAGAAAGTCCGAAAACCAGTAATTCTCAGTGCAATACACCGCTGTCAGAATCCTTCAGAATCTAAAGGTATAAACTGATTTGCATCCCACTATCCCAGGTTAAAAGTAATCTAAATAAGATGAAATAAAATTAGAAAATGGGGCCAACCCAAACGACTATCTTAGGATAATAGTGAGCTACTGAATAGTGAATGGGTACACAACTTTAAACAGGCATGTTTATGTACTCTTACGGAAGAACACTATGGAGTAAGAGTGGGGTCATCTCAGCTCCAACACAAGGGCTTATTTCTTACCAAATTCCCTGAAGCAAATGACAGGTTCTAGTTTGGATGATTGCATTTATGAACGCTTTGGTTACAGCCTCTCTGAATCACACTTAAGCTACAGGAAATACAATGCTATAGCTGATTTACAGACTTCATATCTCTCCCCCCCTTCTCTCACGCATGCACGCACACACACGTATACACTAGTCCTATCCTCGTGATGCCATTAAAACACATGAATAAGCACTTCAAATATTATGCATGAATAAAGTCTTCTAATCACCCACGAAATCTTCACACAACAAACTTTCTGTGGCTATCTTCCACCGAGAACTCTCTCACGGTCAATTAAAAACTGAAACACTGAAATCTGTTCTGTTTCTAACTGTCATTATATAGCTTCCAAACTAAGCACACAGAAAACAGCTTCCATGGCTGCAGAGGAGTATTTACGGCATGTGTGTTTACTTTCATGGACTTCAAGAGTTCCAATATTTTTCCATGTCTGCTGGCTGTCTTCAATCTATTCGATCAGTCAATTCAATGATCACTTCAATTGAGAGAGAGAGAAAGAGGAGGGGGGAGACTGAGACGCACACACACACAGAGTAATTCAAGCATTCTATAGTGAGGCAATGAAAAGAAGTCCCATGGATTGGCCACCTCGACATGTCCCTTAAGCCAGTAAACCTTTCTTTTAGTATAGCTTCCTGTATTCCACTCTGATGTACAGCCATTCCGTTCATAGAAATGTGATAAAACTTTTCCAGCAACAAGTGCTTTGACTGGAGAAGAAGATGGGGGAATAAACAGCAGAGTGGGAAGCCTTAATTTTGTCATAACCACCATCCATCATGGAAATTCTTCTTTGTGGCCTCAATGCAGATCTCAGCACAGTATGCAGAATCAGCCACCCTGCCTTGAGTAAAGAACCTTCTTACTGACTGAACAGAATGCTCAGTTGTACCCAGAGATTTGTGAAGATCATTGCAAAGTGAACAATTCCTGTCCTGCTACAAAGCCAGCCCCAAGTCAACTCCATCTGACACAATACTTTGTATTGCAATTCCAGTATTACTTCCATAAAATTATCATTTTTCGACTTTAATCAAAAGGGCATTATATGCCTCACCATATTTTTGGCAGCTGTTTTCTGGTCATCTTCATGTCCCCCAAGCTGTAACCTGTTCATGAGCTCCGAAAGTTTTCTTGCCTTGCGTAATTCATTTTGCTCTATTATGGTGCACAAATGTTCTGTTAGCAGCTCCTTGCGTTCCAGCCTCTCAAACAGGAGTAGTTTGGCATCTAGGAACTCCTTTTCAGCTTCACTATACCGTTTCCTATGACACAGAAAAATTAAATTGGGTTATCTCTAAATATGAACTGCACTGATTCCCATTTTGTGGTTTCTTAGCTCCAGAACTAGGCTCTGAATAAGGAAGCCAATAAGGGAACAATACAATACAATAAAGACTAGTAAAGACAAGACCACACGCTGTGGAGGAAACATGAAAACCAGGGGCATATTGCAGACATAACTGAAAAGTAGGCTACGAACGTGAGGGGCAAGTTGCCAGAACAAAACGCCTGGGACAGGCATACATTTATGAACAATGGACGTCAACCCCAGTGAGGTGAAATAGAAATCTGAATGGATTTTATCTTGCTTTACCTTGAAAAGAGAACTACAGCATGTGATTTTAACATGGACTAACACAGTGTAGCAGTTTTAACATAATTTAATAAAATATTTGTAACATATCAGGACACCTGAAGATGGCCATTTGGGGCCAAACATGTTGTGTCAAAGTGTATAAAATGTTAAATTAAGATTAAGTAGTCAATAAACAAGTGTTGCAATATTGACAGACGATAAATACATGGACATTAAGTTAAACGATTGCAACAGGATGCTGAAATACAGAATTACACTACACATGTTTGAAGACAAGGGATTTGAAAAGATATTTGGATGTAAGACACACAAAATAAGCAATTTAGCATATTATATTTACACTAATCACCTGGTACTGTTAGGAGATTACATGCCATTTTTTTAATTGTAGGTCAGTGCCCAAACGGACATGCAGGGCTATCTAGGAGATTATAGCAAACCTACCCCCATAACAGCTCATAATTCACTGTCTGCTTTTCTGCTGTAGTTTAACTTGCTTAGTCTATATAAAGGTCTCAAAATGATGACCCTTTGCTTCTAAGCATGCTTAACACAACGGAAACATGTTTCCAGATACAGTACATGTCATACTTGCTGCACAGGTATCATGGTATTGCCTTGAAGTTCTTCCAAAGGGTGCAGATTGTTCACACATATATTTTCTGTCACCTTGCCACACATATAAAAGTCATATGGATTTGAATTCAGTGATCACAGAGGCCACAACCATTGACTTAGGACTTACTTATTGAAGATTTCATATAATGCACTCATACAACTATTTGCAGTGTATGCTTCTGTACCACCTTGGATACAATGTTTGTACAATATTTCTTCATCAGTCAGCTGACTGAACATGGTGACAATCAAACTTGCATAGCAGCTGGAATTTACTGTTTCAAGGAAAATCAAAGGTTCAATACTGTCCACACATTAACTGTACAGAAAACACAAAGTTTTACACCATGCAATGCCACTTCATGAAGAGCATGAGGATTTTCTGTGTTCCTATATTTGTTACATTGGCTATTTATGTAACCACTTAGAGTGAGTCATGCCTCATCAGAATGAAACTAGTTCTGCGTCAATAAGTCCACTGAATACTGATTCATGAAACTACCTGCAGCATCTAATTCTTGTTTTGCAGTCTGGAGACAAAAAACTTCAGTTTTGTAAGGATGTAACTTAAGTAACTTTGTACCTGCATCAGCTGTGCTTTTTGTCTATCCACACTGAAGAGTCAAAAAACATAACTTATATGGGCTTCTTTCCAAGTGGGCACTGAAGTCATCAATTTTTCTTTGTCAGTACATCCCTCTTTCAAGATTTTGCCTATAACCGATTCCTTGACAATATACCATACAGGGTGATTCACGAAGTTTTATTGCCACTTAGGGAGGGCATTCCTGACGAAATTTGGAACAAAAAATGTTAATATACTAATGGTATCCAACTCATAATTAAAGAGATACAGTAATTTGAAAACTGGCAAAAAATCTTTTTTCTTCGAATTTCAGTCAAAACAAGTTAGAAATACAATTCAAACACTTTTTAAATCAATGTTTTAGGAAATAAGCATTATAAAACCAATTTTTTTTCAATTTCTTAATTTTGCATTGTGCAACATTTTTCATCGATTTTATGTTACAAAATTGCATTATTTTCAGCATCCCATTCTGTAAATATACCAATGGTTGCATATCACACCCTTCTATCAATCTGTTTCCTTTAAACTGTAGTGCTTTAGAAAACGACTGGATTTACATAAGATTTTCAAAAATGTCTCCCTGCACCTCAACACAACACGTCGTATGGGTATGAACCGCGCTTGTAGCATTTTGCAGTTCCACACGTTTGTTCCTTATTGTCATCAACGTGTTCAGAATACGTTCAAGCAACGCTTCACGTGTTTGTACCTTTACCTGATACCCAATGTCCTTCATCCAGCCCCAAATGCAATAATCCAACGGTGTTAGATCTGGCGATCTGGGAGGCCAGGCGTTACAGCCTCCGCGACCAACCCACCGCTTTGGGAAATGCTGATCCAAGTGAGCTGCTACTGCGCGGGAGAAGTGAGGTGCCCCATCATGCTGAAAGTACATCCGGCGTCTTGTTGCCAGGGGAACATCTTCAAGTAACTGTGGTAATTCTTCTTCTAAGAAGTGGAGGAAAATCTCACCAGTTAAGTGGCCAGGAAAAATGAATGGCCCAATTAGCTGATCATACAGAACACCACAACAGACATTGACACTGAATTGGTGTTGAAAATTCGATTCTATCGTGGCACAGGGATTAATGTCTGCCCAAACATGTAAGTTGTGACTGTTGTTGACCCCGTCCCATGTAAACTGCGCCTCATCGCAGAACATTATCAAGCGATACAACTGCCGATTTCCATTTAACCAGTTGCAGAACTGCAGACAAAGAGCACGGTCTCCTGGTTGTAGGTGTTGTACTTGCTGTAAATGATAAGGGTGCAGCCTGTTCTCATGAAGAGCCCTCCGCGCCACGGACTGAGGAACACCAAACAGCCGAGCTAGACGTCTTATACTGGCAAGTGGACTGCGCTCTACAGCATCGAGAATGTTTCATTCTTTGCACAATTCATGTTGAGGATTTCATTTGCATTGTATACGAACGCTGGGGAGAGAACCAGTTTGTCTTAATGTATTGAATGTACTGCTAATGGATTTAGGATTCGGAATCCTGCAATTAGGATAATGCCGGTGATATTCGGCAACAGTGGCTCTCGCATTTCCATCACATACACCCAAAACAAACACCATATCAGCGTATTCCTCAGTGGAAAATGTGTACGGCATCTTAACTTCACAAAGTCACTAACACAACGTCCTGTTTACTACTGGATCGCTCTACCTACCTACGCGCAACAGTCCAGCCGGTCTGCCTTATCTGCTGACATAGCTGACTGGAACGCATGGTCGCCCAGGTGGGAAGCATAACGCTGCATTCACAGTGATGTATTTTGAAAATCTATTGTTACTCCGTAACTACTGAAAATCGACCACAAGATTATAAGGAAATTTTGCATGAAATAACCCGAGGAATATGTACCATAAGCCACGGTAAAACTTCGTGAATCACCCTGTATAACTTGAGATCAGTCTATACTAGTGACCAGACACTGTTACCCACTGTGCTTCCATAAACTCACGGCTGGCAACTTCAATTTGATCCCGAAGAATAGATACATCATTGCTCAAGAGTGCGTCTAGTTTCTGCAATTCATCTTGGATCTGTTGCAGTCTAACAGCCTCTGCAGTTGTTTGCCTTTTTCTATAAACACACAAAAAAGGCCAATGTTAAGAAAGCTGCAGCCACTTCCTTCTGAATGCACTGTATCTGAAAACCTTCAATGATGCATACTCAAGCACAAGAAATTTGACTAATTTTGTAGTTAGCTTCCAGATTCCTAATGCTGTGGCTTGCTGTTCTTAAATGAATACACAATATGAGGGGGGACCCAAAAATAACCGGAATTTATTTTTGTTATTTTTTATTTTTGCATTTTTATTGAACTGTATATTAGTCCCCTTCAAAGTATTGTCCATGTGCATTAATGCACTTGTCCCAACGCTTTTGCCACTGCTCAAAACAGTGCTGGAATTCTTGAGGCTGGATACTGTTCAAAGCCTATAGCATGTTTTCTTTGACTTCATCCACATCACGGAATCGCTTTCCTTTCAGACTTCTCTTCATCCGTGGAAACAAAAAAAAAGTCCGACGGAGCCAGGTCGGGTGAGTAAGGTGGATGAGGCACAATCACCATGTTGTTGCTTGTCAAAAACTGTCGGACCATCAAAGCTGTGTGGGCTGGAGCATTGTCGTGGTGAAGAAACCAGTTCCCATTTCTCCACATTTCGGACCGTTTTCGTCGCTCACACTCTCGTAATCTTCGTAACACATCCAGGTAAAAATGTTGGTTCACTGTTTGTCCTGGCGGAACGAACTCTTTGTGGACAATGCCATTCACATCAAAAAAACAAATCAACATTTTTTTCACATTGGATCGCACTTGACGCGCTTTCTTCGGTCGTGGTGAAGTTGGAGTTTTCCACTGGCTTGATGATTGCTTTGATTCTGGATCGTACCCGTAGCACCAAGACTCATCGCCAGTCACAATTCTTTTAAGAAATTCTGGATCGTTCTGCACTTCACTCTTCAAGTCGCGGCAAACATTCACGCGGTTTTCTCTTTGGTCATCTCCGAGCAAGCGAGGAACAAATTTTGCAGACACCCGTCTCATGTGCAAACCTTCGGTTAAAATTCGCTGGACCGTGCTCCATGAGATGTTCGTTTCCTCAGAAAGTTGGTCAATGGTCTTTCGACGATCTTCATCAATTGCACGTTTGATTTTGGCAATGTTTTCGTCATTTCTTCCTGTCGAAGGACGCCCGGGGCGTGGCATGTCTTCTGTTGACATGTTGCCAGATTTGAAACGGGAAAACCACTCGTAGACCTGTGATTTCCCCAAAGCATCATCATTAAAGGCTTGCCAAAGCATCCCAACAGTCTCAGCTGCAGTTTTCCCTAACAGAAAGCAAAATTTCACGCACACTCTTTGTTCCTTCTGGTCAGTCATCTCACTAATCGCCAAAGGGTTGAAACAGGAACGCACACAACAGAGCACCACAGACAAACCACTTAACTCAGACTGACGCCAGCTCACTAACAGTCGCGGGAGACCCCCAGCTAACACCACCTAGCAGCACAATTCGTAACTACATAGCATGCGCGCGCAACAGGTCGGTTCCGGTTATTTTTTGGTCCCCCTTCGTATACGAGTTGTTCAAAAACAGCACCATCTTCAATAAACATTTGAAATGAACAAATAGTAACTATGACAGGGGCTCCATTTCTTGCTTATTTAAGAATGGAGCCCAACCAGACCCACCACCTTTTCATTCTGGGAACTCTTTCTCTAAAGATAAGAGGACAAAGCTTTCCCTTGCACTTTAATCTAGAATATGTCAATTTACATTCACAGGATTAAGACTATCCTTATCTGTTAGATCTTCATGAATACTACTGCTTAAATAATCATAACATGATGTAAATTCACATTTATCAGGGCCACAGACTTTATGTTAAGCAAAACCATGTGCTACACAGAATGATTTCAAACTGACCTGTCAGCTAGTGCCTTTGTCAGAAGCTCCTTTCTCTGACGATTCTGCTCCTCCATGAACTTCTGCTTAGACTGAAACTCATCCAAGAAGCAGGAACTGCCAACTTCTTCGGCATTCAGTATTTTATAATTTTTACCTTCTTTTATTGGCAAGCAGACTGTGCCATGGCTCGGACTGGTGGTCAATGGGCTGGTGCTGCTGGAAACACCACAGCCAGAATCAGAGCCCATTTCAGCACTATCAGGACTATCAGCACTATCTGTCACTGCCTGAAAATAAATCATGATTTCCATGTTACTCTTTCTGTTTCATGTTGAATGCTTAAATTTCACACATAGCATAAAAGATGAGGACTCAAATGTACCCTCAGCACCATGCATGGAAGTGTGCAGGAATGGTACTAAAGGACTGTACAATCTTAATTTCAATGTTATACCACCCTGCACATAACTGAGTATGTCACCTTGGATGTGCAGTGCCAAAGAACTGTCACATGCTCACTCTAAACTAATATGAGTCAGTGATTATAAACACTCCTGAAAATTACGCTCTAGAGGTGTGGAATTTTTCATAATATTAGTTTCTATGGAGTAGTTTGTGGAGAGATGGTTTTAATTACATTCCATTGCATTTTTAAAAATAGAAGGTCAGCAAAGCAAGCACCAGACCTTATATTAACAAGCCAGAACTGTAGTTTCCAAGGCGTTGGGCTATTTCAACTGGGATACAAACAGTATAAAATTTATGATGTAGGGGTTGCAAATGTGTACTTTTTAGAAGAAACATGAATGACTAAAAGCTACACACAAAAGTTACTGAATGGGTCAGGTGGCCTAAAAGTTCGCATCAGCTGACAGATGTTTTGATCTGGAAAGTAAACTTATTTTTCAGTCAAAAATATAATACTGATTACCACTTGTTACTATATTACAGTGAAATTAATGCCAAGCTATAACCATTGCCCTGCACACTGTAGCAGAATGTAGTACATTGAAGTATGATCTGCTATGAATACGATGGGAAGTCATAATGTTTTAATTATAACCATGAGAAAATCATGATTCCAAAATATCATTCTATATAGGAGATAGCCCATTTCCTGAGCTTTCTGAACAGTCAAATTGTCCTGCACCAAGTGGACAGAGGGAGCCCACAAAGTGGTTCGACAAAAAAATAGTCACCATGATCTCCACCTATCACAGTCACGACACCAGGACTGTTACAGTTAGAGGCAAGGAGGTGGCGAAACCAGTTTCAGTATTGGACTACAATAAGTCAATGGGAGGGGTCGATTTGAAGGACCAGCTGCTTCACTCTTATTTGATCAAGAGGAAGCGTATGAATAAGTGGCACATGAAGCTGTTTCGCAGGCTCCTAAACGCCTCAATTCTGAATTCAATGATAGTGTACAGGAGTAACACAGGCAATTATCATTCAGAATTCAGTTGATTGAGGGCCTGTTTGTGAAATATGCGAGTGCTGTCGAACATAAAGTGCCGGGTTCACATCCATCAGACAACACAGTGCCCCGTCTAACAGAACAGAATTTTATCAGCAAGATTCATCCAACAGCGAAGAAATCTAGACCACAGAGAAAGTGCGTTGTGTGTCAAAAGCGTGGAAGGAGAAGGGACACAGTGTACTGGTGTGATGCGTGCGGCGTGGGCCTCTGCATTGAGTGTTTCCGTGACTACCACACACAGCTGAATTTTTAAGGTAATATGATACTACTGTTCATAATTTTTATACGCTTACTGGCCCAAAAATAATTTTAAAGTAGTGTCGATCAATACTCTAATTCTATATACTTCTCTGGACGTTGTGTGAAAATCTGAAAAACAAAACTCCAGTTTTCCCCCGTTTATTATGCTTTAAGTTAAGTGCTGCATTCTCCGATTTAATTAGTTAAATAGCCGCCGGCATTGGAGTTGAGTAGCGATTTAAATGCCTTCCGACACCGAAAGGTTAACAATATATATATATGACTGGTAATCCTATGAAGTGGGGTAAAAAGCATGGGGTACTGCCAGCAGCAAAGCAGGATACCTTCAAATTGCTTGCTTTTGGGTGTATCACCAAGAGAGAGGGGTGAAAATATAAAACTGAAAAAAAAAAAAAACGATTATTTTCAGATTTGTATATTGGATAAAGTATAACACACTTACAAATAGTATTAAAAAAAGGAACACCTTGTGTTAGGACCATGTACAATATCAAAAAATCATCAGCACACAGGCTGCCAGGTTAAAAACTGATATAAAACAAATGAGAGTACTAATTCAATTTTCCCATGATATATATGCCACTGTTCTCCAGATGAGCATGTCTTATACCACCGTAACTTTTAAACGTCAAATGCCCTCAAAATAAATTGGTCTCTCTATAACATGTCTTGGTAACAGCATATGCAGAGTAAAGGATTAAAAAATTGTTTCAAGAACAGATTCTACCACACCTTGACCTGGGTCTGTCACTGTTACGGATAATGTCCGCAACCCTACTGCTGTGCTGGAAAAAGCACTTAAAAAGAAAAAGAAACTTATGATATCGTCTGGCAGTCCTGCAGAAGTAGTGTGTTTACCCCTTAGCAATGCAACTAAAATTGTATTGAAGTGGGCACAAGTAAAATCATATGGTGACATGAAAGCTGAGAGCCAGAATAGTGGAATGGCTAGCTTCAGCCACTACTAGACAATAGTGCGAAAAACACATTTCTGTGCAACAAATGCCTATGCAACAATAGGGGGCTCAGTTTTCCTATGTGGTCCATACGAAGGTTGAGGACCAACTGGACAAGAGTCAGTCAGAGGTCAGAGTCAGCAGTTATCAGGTAGTACTGAGTTTCACTTAACAGCCTTACCTAGCAACAACTTGTGATGGAAGCAGTTATCAGCCAGTACTGAGTTTCACTGTTAACAGCCTTACCTAGCAACAACTTGTGATGGAAGAATAACAAACAGAAGACATTATATGAACCACAGTTGTGTTGATCTACAATCTACGAAGGGTAAATCAGTGAGAATGTTATATTTTGAATTGCTTCATTTTTGGTCCGTTACACTATCAATCACAAAGTCAATAGAAAGTCCATCGAGTGTAACAATGTTTTTAGGTCACTTCTTTATCACATTTGCCTTACATGTTTCGGTTTAATAAAACCATCATCAGAGGCACATATTACAAACACATGAAAACACTGGCGTTGTTTAAATGTACACAGTATATATGCTGCGTGGACGCTGCTACAATTGTCGATGTGTAAAAGCAAAACACTTGCTAGGAATGTGGAATGCACGTTCAACCCTCGCATTCCATCCGAAATTGCCCTCAAATTAAACCGTCAATGTTAAAATATTTAAAAGTTTAAAACATTTGAAGTAAAATGTTAGGCTCCTCCTTGTTAATTCATCCCGATGATGGGAGATGTCAGCTTGAGGTTGTATAGGCTGCAAAGATATTGTATTACATTAGGTTTTATATATTATTATATATTTAATTTATTTTTGTTTAGTGTTGTATTTGATCCTTGCTTACCTTATGGTCAGATGTTTCCTATGCGTTGTGTGTTGTGTACTGCAGTGGGAGTTCTACGTCAGTGTTATTTAAAGCCTTGTGTGTTATGACGTGGTCGGGGGTGTGTTTATACAAGTAGTAATGAGGTCGAACATGCTGTCATGGTTATAGATCTCTTTTGCCTGTTTCTGCTCATCTATTAATTTGTTATCCTTATAGTGGTGGTATTACCTAATGTAATACAATATCTTTGCAGCCTATACAACCTCAAGTTGACATCTCCCATCATCGGGATGAATTAACAAGGAGGAGCCTAACATTTTACTTCAAATGTTTTAAACTTTTAAATATTTTAACATTGACGGTTTAATTTGAGGGCAATTTCGGATGGAATGCGAGAGTTGAACGTGCATTCCACATTCCTAGCAAGTGTTGTGCTTTTACACATCGACAATTGTAGCAGCGTCCACGCAGCATATATACTGTGTACATTTAAACAACGCCAGTGTTTTCATGTGTTTGTAATATGTGCCTCTGATGATGGTTTTATTAAACCAAAACATGTAAGGCAAATGTGATAAAGAAGTGACCTAAAAACATTGTTACACTCGACGGACTTTCTATTGACTTTGAGAATGTTATAATTTCCTGATTTCTTAACTTAATTATGTAACTTATTTTGTTTAAAATCTTTATCTTTTTATTGCATTTTATGTTTTATATTATTATATTATGGTATATTGTCGAAAATCCAACACTGTACTGAATCATATAGTATGCAATTCAATTGCTTAAGAACACGTTAATGGCTTTCTAAAAAAGCTGAAACATGTAGCAAAATACTGTTAAAAGATCAACTGTTTCGTTGTTGTGTTGTGACAGATTTTAATAAAGAAAATTACAGAGTGTGTTATAGTTATTTGCAGTTGTGAGTTATAAGAGTTCAATAAATCCAGTTACCAATCCAAACCCTGTGCCTGGTCATAACATGTGGCAACATATTGCAGAAAGTTTAACATCTGTAAAATTGCAGATATGGAGATATTATCTCATGGGTTCACAGACAGCACTGATGCTTCAGTTTGCAAAAATTGTACCCAAATGTGGAGAATAGGCAGGAAGAGGATTATGAGAAATAGTGCAAGAAGAAATAATGGAGCTGACCATCATTAACCTGATGGAATCAGATGCAGATGATTCTGTGACAGCTACTTTAAATGTGGGGCAACAGATACCGCTAATCATATCATACTGTCATGGAAATTAATTGTGAGGGTGCCTGCATTGCCTCGTGTATGCGGATCTCTCATTCCATTGAAATATCCAAGTCTCCCCCCTCTATAATGTTCTGCAGAATACTGAAGACTGGTGTTGCTTTTTGAAGGACAGTACCTATAAAGAGCAGGAGTGGAATTCTGGAGGAGTCTCTTAGTTGAGTGTGGAAGGCAAGAAGAGGGAGCATATATGACAGGCATGTGAAGCACAGAGTAATGTGAATTCTGAGTTACTCCAGTGCCAGCAGACAGAAGACAAAAGGAGGGGCAGTGCAGTGACTGATCAGTGGCATTATGGTGTGCAATATAATGGCAATGCCATGACTTTAATGGCTACTTTTTGCTCAGCACAAGAAGCCACCATCTTACATAGCTTTAAGCTCATAAGACTCACAATATTTTGAACAGTGCACAGGAATTTGAAACAGGGGCTCTTAACTTGTTAAAGCCCTTGAAGGTGAAAAGTACACATCACAAGAGCAACATGATAGAGATTATGAAGAGGCATCGGGCAACATGTACCTAGGAGATGCATCAACAACACATTCCTGTAAGCCTAGCCCGCATTCAAGAGAAGACTGTAAGCTTAAATGATGCTGAGGAAGAGGAGTTGGAAGAAGGGAAACTGTTGAAGTGAAGCCCTCTGATGCAGCAAGAGGCTGGTTTATTGCTTTCAGAAAGAGGCATGGCTATGGGTTAATGGAAAGCAATTGTGTTGTATTTTAGCGTCCTGTTGCACTGATTCATATTCATAATGCGTATATATTAACAGTCTTCAAGAGCATACAATCCCATCTACCACTTCTACACTACATCACTACATGCTTCGGCAGTATGCTGCCATCTTCAGGTGTACTGATCCGTTAACCATTTCACTACTTGCCTTTATATGTCCATTTACAAATAATATTAAATTTGTATATGTCCTTATATAATAATAAAGTTTGTGTGTTTAAAACTTGTTAAAACCTATTATCTCATACGTCATATTTTTAAAATTTGTGCGTATTATTAATCATCCACATGGGGGTCGTTCTTCTTATGTTTCTAATGCTGTATGTATATTGTGTCTTATGATGTGTTCTACTCTTGTGGCAGCTGCATGCATTGTATTCAAAAAGAATGAACCGATTTCATGACGTATTGGTTCAGTTCTCAAGCATCATCATGGAATGAGTCAGTGACCATTTGAAAGAGGAGTTATCTAAGTTGTGAATGGCTGCCACAAGGGCACTGAAGTCACATCGTTCTTCTGGCAACGTTCAGTTGTTCGTTTACCCTCGGAATGGCGAGTCCTCAGCAAAAGGCGTTCTGCGTTCTCAAGTTTGCGAAAATAAATTCGGTTGTCATGGTACAGTGTGCTTTTCGCAGGCGATTCGGCATTAATCTGCCCTGTCCTAAGAACATTCGACAGCGGTTTCGCCAGTTTCAAGAGAGTGGGTGTCTGTGTAAAGGAAAAAGTCCAGGATGACCACGAGTCTCGGAGGAACAAGTGGCGAGAATCCGTGCTGCTTTTGAGAGGAGCCCGCAGAAGTCAACAAATCGAGTTAGCCGCGAGCTTGCGATCCCTCAATCCACTGTCTGGCGTGTGCTAACAGTACGTCTACATTTGAAGCCATACAGACTGCAGCTCGTTCAGGCACTTACCAATGATGACAAAAGGAAGTGGATAGAATTTTGCGATTCGATGCTGGAGATGATGGAAGACGAAACCTTCATTTCACTTTTAATTTTTAGTGATGAAGCGACGTTTCACTTGAGTGGCACAGTCAACTGTCACAATGTGCATATTTGGGGAACAGAGCACCCACATGAAACAGTTGAGCACGAAAGAGATTCCCCTAAGGTGAACGTCTTCTGTGCTGTGTCTCAGGACAAGGTTTATGGTCCCTTTTTCTTTGAAGGAAACACCGTTACAGGACAAACCTATCTCGATATGCTCCAAAACTGGCTCTTCACTGCAAGCAGATTCACACGACTTCATTTTTCAACAAGATGGAGCACCACCCCATTGGCACCTAATGGTCCAAGTTTTTATAATGAAAAAGTGTCCCAGCGATGGATTGGTCGGAAGGGGGCCCCAAGACCTCGCCCTTTGTGCTTGGCCTGCGAGATCCCCAGACCTCACCGTGTGTGATTTCTTCTTGTGGGGATATGTAAAAGATCACGTTTATGTTCCACCGCTACCCACTAACCTCAATGACCTTAAACATCGAATAACAACAGCGATTAACTCAGTGCATCATGATATGCTGATATGCGCCTGGGAGGAATTCTCTTATTGCAGTGATGTTGCCCGTGCTGCAGGTGGTGGCCACACTGAATATTTGTAAGACAGGAAATAAAAGTTGACTGTGAGTAGAATACTTGTGACTTGGCTGGAGTTTTGTACGTGTCTTACTTTCCTTTAATAAAATATTGTGTAATAAAATCGGTTCATTCTTTTTTAATAACCCTGTATACATACAACATTAGAAACATAAGAAGAACGACCCCCATGTGGATGATTAATAACACAGGTCTGCAAAAATAATTTTTTTTTTCAGCTGCATGGAATATTTTTGGTAAACTTTATGTTTTCTAGGATGCTGAATCCAAAAATGACCTCAATTTCCCCCTATCACGTACGGTTTTTTTGGAAAATAATAGGGGTTTACAATAAAAAATCATAACAGCAATGAAAAAAATCACTAATTTTATTACATTGAACTAAACATATTATTTCTCATAATTAAACAAAAAATTCCTTCACAATATATTTAACATTCTGTGTTCAGTCTTTTTGCCTGTGAAACCTTTTCTTCTTCTCTTTGATGCTTCTCCGAACACGCTTTCGCTTTCCATTTTCCGTTTCCTGCTTGATTATCCAGCAGTAGTCAGCTAGCATATTCACATTCCATCTTCCTTGGTAGCGTCTTTCGATATCACGGACATCCTGATGAGATCGTTCACCCTGCTCTTCACTATAGGCTCCCAGGTTTTCGGGAAAATAGTCGGCATGGGAGTGTAAGAAATGAACTTTTAAGCTCATCTTGCAACCTTGAGCTTTATATGCAGCCAACATGTGTTGTACATTGGTTTTGTAGAGAGGGTCTTTAGTGTTCCCCAAAAACTTGTGCACTACGTCTTTGAAGGAGTCCCATGCTTCTTTTTCTTTTTCTCCCATTTCCCTCTTTGGAGAAAAACTGAGTGAATTCCTTCTCTCGGTGCCTGTACCATGAGAATGATGTTCCAGGTGACAGCAAGTTTTTATTTTTTAGTCTTGACCCTAGCAATTCGGCTGCATCTTTGGAAAGGCCTAAATCCCTAACTAAGTCATTGAGTTCACTTGTTGGGGTCCCTCATCAACAGAAAAATCTGAGCTGGATTCATCCTGGGGTGGTACTATAGTTCCGTCCTTCAAATCACTCTGTATATTATCCAAACTGGAAGGTGGGAGGGGAACTGGTATTTCAGAGCTATGAGGCACTGGACGAATAGCTGAATTAAGGTTTGGGTAAGACATTTTCTTTTTATTTTTTGTATTAAAGCCTTTCACATCTA